CAATAAACCACCAGAAAACCGGAAGTGGCGCTGTAGCTCAAGTGGTAGAGCGTTCACCTTGAGCTGAAGAGCTGAGGGACAGCGCCCAGGCCCAGAGTTCGAGCCCCACGACCGACAAAAAAAAAAAAAGATGCAGGGCACAGGAATCAACAGTGAAAACGGGTTATACCATAGGGGAAGAACATAAAAAAGAAACAAAAATTATCACATAGACATTATAAGTACATTAAGAACAACAGCAAGAAAGATAAAACCTCTTGTGTCCTTATTTTGGGGTTCATTTCACTTAGCATCTTCTTATATGGTCATATGTGCATGGCTTTTGATCTTTTCTGCTTGTCCTAGATGTATATTAGTTATTGCAAATAAGGAAAACCATGGGACCTATGTTTCTTTGGGCCTGGCTTACTTCACTTAATATATTGTTTCCAAGTCTTTCCATTTCCTAACAAATGGGGTGGTGTCATTCTTTCTGACAGAGGCATAAAATTCCATTGTGTGTGTGTGTGTGTGTGTGTGTGTGTGTGTGTGTGTACCACATTTTCTTGATCATTCATCTACTGAGGTACATCTAGGTTGGTTCCATATCTTAACTATGGTGAATAATGCTACAATAAACAGTTGTGCTGGTAGCTGGTAGCTGGTATGGCCTTGTTTGTGATCATAATGCTAAATGCTCAAAGGCGGGATTGTTGGGTCATAGGAGAGCTCTATGTGGAGTCTTTTGAGGAACCTCCATACTGCCTTCCAAAGTGGTTGAACAAGTTTATACTCCTACCAACAATGCAGTAGGGTTCCCTTTTGGCCACATCCCCTCCAGCATCTGTTGTTATTAAATTTCTTGCTTATAGCCATTCTGAGGTGAGGTGAAATCTCAATGTTGTTTTGATTTGCATTTCTTTTATGGCTAGAGAACACTTCCAGTTTTTTTGAGTAGTTAATTGGAGATAAGAGTCTCAGGGGGTGCCGGGCATCTGTGGCTCACGCCTGTAATCCTAGCTACTCAGGAGGCTGAGATCTGAGGATCTCGGTTCAAAGCCAGCCCGTGAGACTCTTATCTCCAATAAACTGCTAGAAAACCGGCAGTGGTGCTGTGGCTCAAGCGGTAGAGCGCTCGCCTTGAGCTGAAGGCCACAAGGACAGCGCCCAAGCCCAGAGTTCAAGTTCCATGACCAAAAAAAAAAAGTCTCAGGGGGACTTTCCTGGCTGGGCTGGCTTTGAACTGCAGTCCTCAGATCTCAGCTTCCTGAGTAGCTAGTGTGAGCCACCAGTACCCAGCTTATAGGAGTTTTTGGTTTTGTTTTTTGTTGGTTTGTTGTTGTTTTTGTCTTGTTGGTCTGTGGGGCTTCAATTCTGGGCCTGAGTGCTGTCCCTGAGCTCTTCAGCTTAAGGCAAGTGCTCTATCACTTGAGCCACAGTGTCACTTGTGGTTTTCTGGTGGTTAATTGCAGATGAGTCTCACAGACGTTCCTGCCTGGGCTGGCTTTGAACTGGATCCTTAGATTGAGTGGCTAGGATTACAGGAGTGTGCCACTGGGTTT